AAAGTTGATGTACGTGTCACGAGACATCATTCTGTTGAAAGTTGATGTACGTGTCACGAGACATCATTCTGTTGAAAGTTGATGTACGTGTCACGAGACACCATTCTGTTGACAGTTAATGTACGTGTCACGAGACATCATTCTGTTGACAGTTAATGTACGTGTCACGAGACATCATTCTGTTGAAAGTTGATGTACGTGTCACGAGACATCATTCTGTTGAAAGTTCAACTCACCAAAAGAAGAAATATACTATACTCATGCAAGGAAAATACTGGATAATAATATTTGGGTCTAAATTAAATGCGGGTTTCCCAACAATCACTTAAAGTATGTATTAATTAACTGTTCACACAAGATAACCAATAAATATATTTCTTACCAAAATCTATCATCATCTTATCACAGAAATACTTCCAAAGCAATTTCTTTCCTCGGGCAACATTGCTAACGAATAATAATTACATAAAAATTATCATCTAAGGTCAACTACTACATTAAACAGTCAATATCTAAATTTCAGAACGTTTCTGATAGTGGAGAAATTTACGTTTCTGTATTTAATGGGATTGAATATTATTAAGTAGACTTGGAAAAGGCAGCAAGTATTTAATGATTCCAAAGTTTCCTTTTTCTAAATGTCATAAAAACAGAATCGACCAAAACATTTATTCTTAAGCTGTTATAATAGGGTATTAGCACTATGCACGAGGAGACACGCGTGCATAAACTTTTACAATATAGTGTCTGTAAGGTTGGGAATATAAAAGTAGGGTTAAAATGTCAGGCAACAGTAAGAAGACAAAGGATCTTCATAATTCTTGGTGTTTGAATATCATGAAACTCACCCAGCTTCACACATTAACTTTTTTTCCAGATCATGGCCACAACAGGATAGCAATAAGAGAGAATGGCAAGAATAACGAAAAGTTTCATTGCAGGCAGAATGCGACACAATAGATTTTAGCTTATTAAATCTACTGCAGTGTACTCTTTGGAAATAGAAAAACCACCCCCTTATTCTCAGGTATAGTCCGTGAAGTCTTCGGGATGTTTATGGTGAGAGTGATACGATGAGCTACTGTTTGAAGAGTCCATGCTTGAATCGTCAACGGGAATTTCCTGCAGAATTTTCGTCCTGAGTCGTTTGAGCTGTCTTAGGCGTTCCAGCCAATTGGAGATGTAAGGCTCACTCGATGATGTGGTACTTTTGAAGATAGAGCACGCCAGCTGTGGACAGAACCCAGAGTATTAAAAACAAACTTTATTTTAGTTCATCTACGGTTGACACATACATACATACGAATAAATATCCATGTTAATGATGTTAGGAAAACACACAGGGTTAAAAAAAAAATAATCGGTTGAAGATAAAAATGATGAAAACAATGCACTTTTGAAAGATGGACTTTTTTTTTTCATCAAGAACAAACAGTTTGCCCCCGCTGAAGAAAGGTCCACCTTTCGAAAGGGTTATAGGGTTTTTGTTAACTATCTACATTACACACAGTTAAGTCAAAACCCAGTCAACATCTATACCACTAATACTCCAAGTCAAAACCCAGTCAACATCTATACCACTAATACTCCATATGTGATGAATTAGTCCAACAGTTTTTAATTGGTAAACCTTAAGATTTTGCTTTTCAAGGAGGATGTGGGGGTGGAGGGGGTTATATTGAGTTAAACAAATAATTTAAATCAAACTTCTCACAATTGGAGTGTGTCTTATCGATTGTAATAGCTAATTTCTATATGGTGAGGATCAACAAAAAATATTGCCACACAGTGAGATGACGGAAGTTTTCGTTACCCAATGACACTCGTTAGTTTATTTTGTTAAAGATTCTTCATAGCACTGACGTATATAAATCCATCTATTATTGGTTTATGTTTGCCATACATTCAAGCCTCTCAATATATTATTTTAATTATAACTGGTGAAAGAAAAAAGGAACTGAAATGTACTGCATATAAACAAACACGTTTCTATCGTATTCTTTGGTCAAATAAGTTTTTAAACACTTTTTAAGCTAACACACACAGAAATAACACACAATCCATCTAGCAAAGTAAGGGTTTAAAATTAGTGGCTATCTTATTTTTGTTTTTTTTCATTTGTTGTTAAGCACAAAGCTACACAATGGGCTATCTGTGCTATGCCCACTATGGGTATTGAAACCCAATATTTAGATTAATAAACCCTCAGGTTTACCACTAAGCCACCAGAAGATAACTGGATTATCAATTTATTTTAGAATCTTTGTGAAAACGTATACAGACTAGAGGGAAGTAGCCATCCCTAAGTTTGAATAGATGGGCTAGAGGGAAGTAGCCATCCCTAAGTTTGAATAGACGGGCTAGAGGGAAGTAGCCATCCCTAAGTTTGAATAGACAGACTAGAGGGAAGTAGCCATCCCTAAGTTTGAATAGACAGACTAGAGGGAAGTAGCCATCCCTAAGTTTGAATAGACAGACTAGAGGGAAGTAGCCATCCATAAGTTTGAATAGACAGACTAGAGGGAAGTAGCCATCCCTAAGTTTGAATAGACAGACTAGAGGGAAGTAGCCATCCCTTAGTTTGAATAGACAGACTAGAGGGAAGTAGTCATCTCTAAGTTTGAATAGACAGACAAGAGGGAAGTAGCCATCCCTAAGTTTGAATAGACGGGCTAGAGGGAAGTAGCCATCCCTAAGTTTGGAGAGACTAGAGGGAAAGCAAGTTATACAACAGCACCCACCACTAACTCTAATCAAGGAGTGGGATTTGACCACCACTCTTATAATGCACCAAAAGTACGGAGCATGAGTGTGGCATAATGGAATGTGAATCGGGGATCCTCGGATTCATAGTCTGGCACAGTGATCACCATGTTACGTTGGATAATTTAACTCTACATAAAAACTTACATTTGTGTGAAGAGCCAGCTGCCTTACATAGATCGACAGACTGTGGTCTGACACAATATGAGGATCACAGTGATCACCATGTTACGTTGGATAATTTAACTCTACATAAAAACTTACATTTGCGTGAAGAGCCAGCTGCCTTACATAGATCGACAGACTGTGGTCTGACACAATATGAGGATCACAGTGATCACCATGTTATGTTGGATAATTTAACTCTACATAAAAACTTACATTTGTGACACAATATGAGGATCACAGTGATCACCATGTTACATTGGATAATTTAACTCTACATAAAAACTTACATTTGTGACACAATATGAGGATCACAGTGATCACCATGTTACGTTGGATAATTTAACTCTACATAAAAACTTACATTTGCGTGAAGAGCCAGCTGCCTTACATAGATCGACAGACTGTGGTCTGACACAATATGAGGATCACAGTGATCACCATGTTACGTTGGATAATTTAACTCTACATAAAAACTTACATTTGCGTGAAGAGCCAGCTGCCTTACATAGATCGACAGACTGTGGTCTGACACAATATGAGGATCACAGTGACCGATAATCTCCAGGAGTTCTGAAATTATAAAAAATCAGCACAAAATTCACGGTTATAAATTTCAGTAGTCAGAAAGAAAAGTTTAATAATGTCAGTTTACAGTAAAACAATTAAGAACAACGGCCTTCAGTGGTTTACTAATCTTTGGTTTATTGTTTGTTGACTGATCTAAAAAGGACCTACGTTATTTTATAAATCTATTCAGTGTTCTATTTAGTTCTAACTATAGAAAACCCAAAAGACATAATACCCAGGGAAAAAAAATAAACATGTCAAAGTAGTGAAAACAAGGTTTTAAATGTGAACTTTACCAGTGATAGTTTACGAAAAGCATCTTAGGTATGTAACACAATATGGTTTCGAATCATGGTTAGCTAGGTAATACAATACAGTTTTGAAACACCTTGTACGATAAAGATTTTTCTGAATCAAACTTATGATTTTAAAAGTACTTCTGGTTCCACAAGGACAAGTTAGTTTTTAAGATATAATAATAATAAAAAATGACCTTAATAAGTACAATCACCACCGGTGAGTCTCATTCGTATCAAATTCAACCTTCTGCATTTCACTCTGCATTAATAAAACTCTCTCTGACTAATTTGTCTCACCAGCAACGTGTACACACAGCGTAACACAAGACTGTGTTAGGTCTATGATAACATAACACTGTGCTGTATCTTTAAAAGCACACTTTTTTTCTGCCGAGTTACGAATGTAAGTCACAGCTTTGGGTAAAGAAATATATTGTTCTCTTTTAATATTTACAAACTAATTGATGTGGTGAGAATATAGTTTTAAAATTAAATTCACTATTTTAAATATCTTATGAAGTAATAAAGCCAGTGTAACAACTAGTTTTGTGTGATCTAACCTATAAAAAGCTAGTGTAACAACTAGTTTTGTGTGATCTAACCTATAAAAAAGTTAGTGTAACGACTAGTTTTGTGTGATCTATCCTATAAAAAGCCAGTGTAACAACTAGTTTTGTGATCTAACCTATAAAAAGCTAGTGTAACAACTAGTTTTGTGTGATCTAACCTATATAAAAAGCCAGTGTAACAACTAGTTTTGTGTGATCTAACCTATAAAAAAGCCAGTGTAACAACTAGTTTTGTGATCTATCCTATAAAAAGCCAGTGTAACATCTAGTTTTGTGTGATCTAACCTATAAAAAGCCAGTGTAACAACTAGTTTTGTGTGATCTAACCTATAAAAAGCCAGTGTAACAACTAGTTTTGTGTGATCTAACCTATAAAAAGCCAGTGTAACAACTAGTTTTGTGTGATCTAGCCTATAAAAAATCCAGTGTAACAACTAGTTTTGTGTGATCTAACCTATAAAAAGCCAGTGTAACAACTAGTTTTGTGTGATCTAACCTATAAAAAGCCAGTGTAACGACTAGTTTGGTGATCTAACCTATAAAAAGCCAGTGTGCGTCACGTCATGCTTGATTTCTTGAAATAGGAGGAATCATAAAAGCCAAAACTCACTTATCCAGATAGACTGAATCGAGTACTGTCTACTTATTATGATTTTAGTGATAGGGGTGCAAAGGGGCCATAAGGAGGGTGGTTATACTATTAGGTTATACTTTTCTCGCTAAGCAAGATGATATAAAAGTCATTGTTAGGACGTAGTGTTATCAAAACGCACTGGCTTCGATATATATTAGAAGTTGTTTATATAACTGAATTTTACCAATAATTATTCTATGAATACGCCACAAATTCATTTCATGAATGATCTTAATTTTGATTGGCTCACAAAGGAACTTACTGACGTTTGACTTCACTGTAATTTTCTGCCTCTTTGTTGGTCAAACTTGATTTCGCAAGTGTATTTATTTCAGTTAGCCATGAAATGTGAGGTTAGGGTATATTATGGGGTGGGGGGTCGTAGTACTTGCCCCATCATCCTTGACAGGCTATACACTAGTATTACATAAGTAGCTTGTTGTCCATTTCTCACATGGGTTGTGATTTGGTTAACGTCAACTTGTGTATACTGAATTTGGTTAACATCAACTTGTGTATACTGAATTTGGTTAACATCAACTTGTGTATGTTGAATTTGGTTAACACCAACTTGTGTATGCTGAATTTGGTTAACACCAACTTGTGTATGCTGAATTTGGTTTCATATTATTTATTATGTCACAAAGTAGGCTTACCTATTGATTTTTGATTATTTACTGTATTCATTGTTTTTCATGTTATCCCAGTAAGTAAAGTTCTTCTGTACTTGTGTAGCCATACGTACAAAATAGTGTTGTCCAGATGTCACAAGTTGTCGCGAGCTGAACCGGTTTCAATGAAACTCGGGTGGACGCTACCACAGATCGAGTTTAACTGGGTGTGCAACCTGATGAACAGTTCGTGTTTCACAGCCCTTTACAGTTATACCAATACAATAAACTACTCTGTGAATCGGATGAAGATCAAAATGTGGCAAGTTTTCTTACCTTGTTTAGTTTTAACTGTAACAATATTACTGTTAAAGTCTCCCGGTTGGATGATGACACAAGCATATACAAACTGGCCCTAAATGGGTATAGAGAGAGAGAGAATGAGTGGCATACTTCTAGAATTAAATTAATTATTCATACACAATATTTAAAAACAAGATAAATCAGAGAGAACAACTTATGGTGACATTTGAAAGGCTCTATACAATGGTTTTACCTCAACTGCTTAAAAATAAACGAACGCTTTCTCTACTGAAACAACACAATTTTCATTCTATTACAAGTTTATAGATTTCTTAAAGGTACCGAGCAAATATTGCCATACATAATAAAACACTAGTGAAAACAAATAAAACTTTAAATACACCATTTTAACTCCACTACTGCGAGACCTTTTGTTTCGCAGATAAAATAAAAAATGTTTCTATCTTCCTAAACTGGCACTTGTCCAAATGTTTCATATTTCACAAAGCACAGAATAACATTAACTGTAAGATGGCATTATTACTTCTTTTCCTTGTCTCCACCATTGTAACAATGAAATGAAGCCTTTTTTAAAACTTCCTACCTTGATAGTTGTGATACTGTAGTCTTCGTCACTCTCGTTATACACGATAGTAACATAGTTGTTTCCAATGTGTCGTTTCTTGGAGTTGCAGGAAGGGTCTGAAGGATTATTTGGTAGTAACGTAGCCACATGAAAAATTACTAAAACACACAAAATAGTAAAGTTATGTATACATATTTAGTATATTTGAATCTACATGCTAGTTCTACAGGAGACTTGACATCAAAGTAGAACTACAAATAACTACCAAGCAGATGCTAAAAAAACATACATTATTTTTAAAAGTCTTGTTAAAAAATGGACATTAATTATGTTGTTAAAAACATGTTAATTATGTTGTTAAAAAACATGTTAATTGTGCAAGTTTTGTTATCCCTACAATTGGCACCATATGTTGTTGCAGGATCAAGATTAATGATAATAGTTTTTATCTAATGATTAATCTTGTACTCAACCAGAATTCTTTTAAACTTTGACAAATAACACTTTACTCAACTAGAATTCTTTTAAACTTTGACAAATAACACTGTACTCAACCAGAATCCTTTTAAACTTTGACATAATCTTGTACTCAACCAGAATTCTTTTAAACTTTGACAAATAATCCTGTACTCAACTAGAATTCTTTTAAACTTTGACAAATAATCTTGTACTCAACCAGAATCCTTTTAAACTTTGACAAATAACACTGTACTCAACCAAATTATTTTAAACTTTGACAAATAATCCTGTACTCAACCAGAATTCCTTTAAACTTTGATAAATAATCCTGTACTCAACCAGAATTCTTTTAAACTTTGACAAATAATCCTGTACTCAACCAGAATCCTTTTAAACTTTGACAAATAACACTGTACTCAACCAGAATTCTTTTAAACTTTGACATAATCTTGCACTCAACTAGAATTCCTTTAAACTCCAACAGAGTATTGCAGTCATTCTTGAGATTGAAACAACACAAAAACAAACAAACTCAAGTTGTGTCCTAATACAGATCCATTTCTTGACTAATTTTGGCAAGAAGAAATTAAAACTTTTAACTCTCACGTATTTCATATACATGAAGTAAACATTCATAACCAAGGTAAAAATGATTGTTTGATTTTAGTTTTAGGTAATGATTCAAGTCTCTCTAAGTTTGGTCATGCTCTCTGTTTATATGGTTTTAATTTAAAAAGAAATACATTTTCTTACCATCACATAGTATATTAAAACTACAAACTGAAGAATTAAACAACAACCTGATATAATTTCTAAAGCAATAGGGATCTCGTGACACACAACTACTGTAGAGAAACAGATAACCATGGTAACATACAAACAATGCTGTTAAACTTATGTTAAAAGATCCAACAAACAGGTTCTTGTTAAATGCCTAAACATATTTATAAATACTACTAGAATAAGACAGTTTTGATCATAGAAAACGCAAACTGTGTCGATTTAACTTACTAAGGATGTGATTTATAAGGTTTGATTACAAGAACTACGATTAATGTGTCGGTACTTGCTTTGTAGTATACTCTAATCATTAAGATAAAATCATGAAAACAACAACGTACCCTGCATCACGTCGTCCTGCCAACTAAAGGCATATTTTCCATCTTCTCCATCTACATCCAAGCCTCCTATGTAGTTGGTTTGAGGATCGACATCTTTTAGCCTAAGTAGGGTCCCCAGGTTTTGTAAAAACTTGTTGTATCGTAACGATCCAAACTGGTTACCGAGGATGGCTGCTTCATTGTTTGCCTTTTCAAATGAGGAACAGGATACTGAGGGTCACTAAGTTAGTCATTTAGTCATCCTGATACTTGATCATGTCTTAGTGACACATGATCAAGTATCAGGATGACTAACTTAGTGACACATGATCAAGTATCAGG